GACCAGGAATATTTTGAATATAAATGTCATATATTTTGCACAAAAGATAACATATTTACTAGAGAAAACATTTTATCTAAAATTTGTATGTCTAATGCAAAATATATGATGTTTATATTCAAAATGATCACCAAATTATAAGAATTCCAGCAATGTAAATTATATTCTGGCCGGGTAATTTGTATGAATTTTATGAGCTAAAACAAATATCTTCAGTTAATAAAAAAAAAATATTCTTCAGGACACTATCTGTCAATCAAAGTACCCCACCTTGCCTCCCCCCTCTTCCAACCGCGCGGTCAGTCCCAACCCTCCCCCCCACCCCCCACCAATCCTCCCTTCAAGAGAAGAGTGGGTGAAAAAAATAAATTTTAACATTTTGTATTAAATAATACCTCAGATTAAAGTTAGGATAATATAATTGACATTGCTGGATTCCTTGTAAGACCAGGAATATTTTGAATATAAATGTCATATATTTTGCACAAAAGATAACATATTTACTAGAGAAAACATTTTATCTAAAATTTGTATGTCTAATGCAAAATATATGATGTTTATATTCAAAATGATCACCAAATTATAAGAATTCCAGCAATGTAAATTATATTCTGGCCGGGTAATTTGTATGAATTTTATGAGCTAAAACAGGCAGGGTGGCGGGTGGGGCAAATCTAAAAATAGCGTCTCGAGCCGGACACTCACCGCGTATATGTGGAAAAAATCCGTGTTAAGTGAAAGTTCAGCTCTGGCGAGGCACCGCGTATATGATAAAACGCGTTAAGTGAAACCGCGTTAGGCGGGGTAATACTGTATTGTATTGTGAAGAAGCGAGCATCTAGTGTGAATATAAAAGACCAGTTGTACTTATACTTTGATAAATGTCCCTTGCATATACAGTACTGTAATTCATATGTGTTCCCTGATAACAGCTTCCTTTTGTCACATTAATTACTGTGTGGTAATTCATCAGTCTGATCCCTTGTGTTCAAATGGGTCACCAGAACTTATACATAAGAACCTCATTAATCTCACAAATATTAAATATTTGTTTTAGTCGTACTGTTTGATTCACATTAGGTTTGTCTTAATTTTTGTAACAAAATGTTTCTTATCTCTTGCATACTATTTTTTTTTAAATTGACAATTACACAGAATCTCTGCAACAATTAGATTATAGGATATGCCACCTGTGGTGTTAGTTCATTGTTTTGTTTTTTGTGTATATAGGACTATATTTATATGTAATTTTGTTATGGTGTGTATCATCCTCTTTTTAATTTTAATTGTTACTAATGATTTAATCTAATTGTAGAACTTTTAAACTCGGTCGCGTTACTGCAGCTTATAAACCTTACCAATAAATTAATATTCTGTGACATCTTGCCTACAATGGTAAAGTGATTCAAGCATGTCTAGATGGCAGGTGGCAAAAACAATCCACCATTCAGTACTTGAATTACATAATAATTGTATATTGTATCACTCTTATGGTGACTATATATACAAATGCAATGTTGCGTAACAGGTCAATGAGATTAAAGCAACAACTTTAATTTTACAATAGTTGCTTCTGGCCAATAATCACTGGTTTTAGAGGAACCCTTTGATCAAAAGTTTGGTCTTGTCAGTCTGTGGTGACCACTTGATTTTGTATATGGTAATAAAATTTAATTTGAGTCTTAAAGATGATGTAAAGTCTGTTCCAAGTTATATGTTAGTGGATGATGCGTGGTAAGTTATAAGTGTGACCTTGGCGGTAATGTATAAAAAAAAGATTATACAGATACCAATACACCATAAAGTAAATACCACATGATAGGGCATTGTGACAGTTAAATGACCCTGGAAAGAAAATACTTTTCTGCTAATGTTTTTCCATACCCCCATTTTTTCATTTTATCATCACAATTTCTTTTTTCTCTTTTCCAAGCTTCTTCATGCTATAATGCACATTGGCAGGAATGAAGAGCAACACTCAATATTCCATCATTCACTCTCTCAAGCTACTGTCATAAATGTGGCCAACTTTGGTGTTCTCCATCCTAAATACAGTACTGTACTGTATAATAAATTTTGTTTCAGTTATGACTCTTAAATTTTTATGCATAAATTTTTTATGCCACTGTATATTTTTCTTGAAGTGAATTGTTATAATTTAGTTTTGCTCTTTTGTTCATTTCTATTTTTTCTTTTAAGTGACAGGACTGATAACTAACATAACTCTCATCACTACCCCTTCAAGTACCCCAACTCATCACTACCCCTTCAAGTACCCCAACTCATCACTACCCCTTAAGTACCCCAACTCATCACTACCTCTCATCACTACCCCTTCAAGTACCCCAACTCATCACTACCCCTTCAAGTACCCCAACTCATCACTACCCCTTAAGTACCCCAACTCATCACTACCTCACTCACTACCCCTTCAAGTACCCCAACTCATCACTACCCCTTCAAGTACCCCAACTCATCACTACCCCTTAAGTACTCCAACTCATCACTACCCCTTCAAGTACCCCAACTCATCACTACCCCTTCAAGTACCCCAACTCATCACTACCCCTTCAAGTACCCCAACTCTTTCATTACTATTTTTGTAGTACTGAAATGGAATTTTTATCCAGTAAATTTTACAATGTTGATAAAATAAATTTATCCCCAATTTCTTTTAAAGAATTGTGAACAGAAGATATACCTGTATTTCTTTACTTTAAAAAACTAGTGGAGGAAGTTCTTTCATAAATCCTTTATTACACTTTTTTAAAATCGCTAACAATTAGGACTTACAAGAATAAAACCATTATAGTAATGCCTTTATGAAGAAAGAAAAATATTAATACTGTATTAGAATCCAAGTTATTTTTATTTACAGACTAGGAACACAGTGCATGGTCTATCACGTGTGGCAAATATACAACACAAAATAAGGTTATACATTTATAAGATATAATTAGTTTTGTTTCATGTGCACACATTTTTAGATTTTATATGCACAAGCACTATAAGGTGGGCAGAAGTTATCCTTCCATGATGTATTGCTATGTGCCAACAATCAGTTTCATTTATAATATTTCTGAATAGATTATATTAAAGAAGATTGCAAGTGATGATTATTTTATTTTACCTTAATAAGACTGGGGTATTGTAAAATGTGTATGAGTGCATTTAGCAGTGTAATAAGAAGCAAGTTAACCACTAATTACCCTATAAATTTATCATTAAAAAAATTATTTATTTTTCTTTGCTTCGTAGTTTATCCTCTTCACCACTGTTAGCAGCTTGGGCAGTCTGTCATGTCTGATACTGTTGGCACCTACTGGGCATGTATTGGTTCCAGAATGTATCTGTAACTGCACCAGTGTTGGTCAAGCCTGGTCTTGAATGAGCTCACACTCGGTGACCACAACTCTCTCTGGCACATTGTCCCATGAATTCACAACTCTCACCCCAAAAAAGTAATGTCCTCTGAGGTGTTTACTGTATAGACTTCTATTAATGCACCATGCCCGCCTATAGTATATGCTACGCAATTGCAGGTGTTCCAATCTCTCTGGGTACCTGAGGTGCCATAGTGATAATTCTTAGACCACACTTAAATTTTTACATATAAAAATATTTATGTTGCATTTGCAGTATTATTCTTTGTTATGTAAGGAGCAAAATGTAAGTATAGTAAACCCAGAACATTCACAGGTTTAAATATAACGGATTTTATTATTCACAGGTACAACCATTGCATACCTGCTTAACATGCACGGGGATGAGATTTGGTTATTCATGGATTGTGGTTGTGTTTTCCTGTAGTTCCGTGGGATGCTTGTGTTTACTGTCTCCAGCCTCCGTCATAGTAACACCTGCAGCGCAGCTATTCGCTTGACTATTACTACTCTTTTTGGTGACTTTTTGTCCTTAGTGATGCCTCCTAAGCATACAATGAGTGTGGTGAATGGGTCAAGTGCAAAGAGGCAGAAAAAAGTGATGACTTTAATTCAAAATGTAGAATTGTTTGATCGCCTTGCAAGGGGTGATAGTGCAGTGGCTGTGAGACACCATTATGCTGTTAACGAGTCAACTGTGCGCTAACATGGAAAGAAAGGGAACATGATCCCCCATATACTTAATTCCCTTCCAATATTATCACCATCATCGTCATCTCGTCAGCATCATTTTTGTCGGTGAGTACAGTACATTACAATGTTTTGCATACATTTTATTTATGTACCGTATTTAACATGTACAATATTACTCATAAATGGTATCTCTTTGTGGGTGTGGATTCCCCAACCCCATTTTACCCATAAGGTCTTCAGTTTAACATTCGCAGCTTTGACATTCATGGTGTTTTTGAGGAACTTAACCTCAGTGAATGTTGAGGGTTCACGGTAATCAAGTTTGTGTACCTTTAACTAAAGGGTGGAAAAATTGTTTCATCACCGAGACCTTAAATCTTGTCTAAACTTAACAATTTCTACAAATACAGTACAATATACTGGGTACAGTATATGAAATATTACTTTAATATTAGATTTTTTATTTTATTTTATTTTTTTATTACAGGGATTAGCCCACCCTGGCACAGGTCAATGACCCACATCGGGGCCTGGGGGGCGAAAATGTAGTAGTTGTAGTAGTAGTAGTAGTAGTAATATTAAGGTAAATAAATGGTGGCGAAGGTGTGGCTATTGGGGGAGGCTGGAGGCCACGTTAAAAAGAAAAAAAGAAAAAAAAAAGTAGTAGTAGTAGTAGTAGTAGTAGTAGTAGTAGTAGTAGTAGTAGTAGTAGTAGTAGTAGTAGTAGTAGTAGTAGTAATAGTAATAATAGTAGTAATAGTAGTAATAATAATAATAATAATAATAATAATAATAATAATAATAATAATAAAGAAATACAAAAATGAAAAAAATCAATAGTGAGAAACAATATATGTATGTTGTGATGTCAATGGTAAGAGAAAAAATTGAGACCCTGCAATTGTGTGTAAATGAAGCAGAAAGTCAGATCAGCAACCTGGGACTTGGTTACAATTTTTTTATGTATACCTGTACATACTAACTGTTCATGTATTTAAAGTATAATTGAAAAAATAACTGATACCCTGTACAGTTAGATCAAACAGTCTACCTTGTCATCTGCTAAGCATAAAATCCTTATACAAGGGATCCCTGACTTATGAATGTCCGACTTACGAACACCCTCCAATGCGAATGAAGTTAAACTTTAAATTTACAGTAGTGTATTTATTTACCTGAGGACTTATTTTCTACTTTCATTTACTGTATTTTGTCATTCTATTTCTAACTTTCTCTTAAATTAAGTATTTTAGATTTATATAAGGACTTACGCTATGATATAGTGGGATTTTAAACATTATTTTGTAAGTATGGTATGCACAGAGCATGCGTTTCGACTTAGGTACATTTTTGAACATTTTTGACTTAAGAATGTCCTCAGGAATGGAACCCGTTCATAACCTGGGGACCCCCTGTACAGTACAGCTGTACTGTACCATTACTGCTTAGTTGGTGAAGATACCTATTGCATTCATATCTTTTTATCCATGTTTAAGTTTAATTCCACGATGTTCAGTGATATCATTAGTTTGTGCAAAGGCATATTCAGCCACTAGGGGTATGCATGTTTAGTGTGCTTGTTGTTAATAGTATTTACAACACCTTATGTTCTTCGGTATGCATACAAATATTTACTTGACCTCTCCAGAGGTTCCTGTGCTTTCTCACAGATGAAGTTCCGTTCTGTGTCACATGACTCGTCCCAGTACCTGATGAAGAACAATAAAAAAAAATTACCTCCAATGCAGAGCTCATTTTAACTGAGAAAAAGTCTGTCAAGATTAAACAAAATTGGGTCTTGCTTGAGAATGCCTGTGTTTTAATTTTCTTCATGATATTATAAATTGATAATGCTATTAAATATATAAGATTCATCTGATGAAACATAAATTGAGAACACACATCTTTGGTTTATGGTACCACATTGTAGATTTTTGTTCAAGAAATTCTTTGAAAGAGTCCATTTGATTAATTATATTTAACTGATAGTAGTTTTATCAGTACAGTACTGTATATGAAAAGTTAAACACAAGAGTACAGGTATCAGTGTTGCAGTGAGTGTGTGTGTGAGATATACAGTACTGTATAGTACTGTGTTTTATTATTTTTAACTGTTCTCATTAAAATCAATTTTGATACAAAATTAAAATCTGCCATCCTTGTTTCATTGACAAAGTGGTGCCTTTTCAAGGATGGACCAATTTCCTTTGTGCTAACTTCATCATTAATATCATCGTGTGTCCTGGGAGTTAGGCTCGTGCAGCACTGTACTGTACTGTACTGTACTGACACCTCTGTTTGTGAATGAGTAGTACAAACTTAGATCATGTCGGTGGGAAGTGTAAAGTAATTCAGGACAGGAAGGACTGTGGACTTAAAATGAATAGTTCATGTATTTTCCATCACATGTTTACTTATGTGTAAATTTTAATAATATATTTACTCTTTTCTTACAGAAGTGCTAACTAAAAATTTTTAATTTTGGGTAACCTGTCATGTTCATAATTCACAAATGCATTTCTACAATTTTAATACAGTACAGTATATTATTGTGACAATCTGCCTCATCAACTGAACTATTAATGTTTGATTGGTATCCCCCGAGGTGACTGCTAACATTTCTTATATTTACATTCAAATATAAAGTGTTTTGGCAGTATTGTACAGTATTGTAAAGGTTACTGTACAGTATATAAGACACTCAACTAAACTGCTCTCACAGATTTTTAGTCAAATTACCAGTAATGGTTATTCTGGTTTGCACTTTCAGTAACATATCCATCACAAAAATATTGGTTGGATGGTGTGCAAATTCATATACAGGTAGTACTGTATTATTTAGAGATCCATGAAATGAGCTGGATTGGGATTCTATTGGGAATATAAAACTTTCCCCCAAATTACTGGAAATATCCATGTATAAAAAGTGCCAAGATTGTTACCAAGAATTTATATTAATGCAATCACACATGTTTCAAAGACCACATTCCATCTATCACAGCACTTGTAGAATAACTATAATCATCTTTTCATTGAAGTTAATTTAGCAATTTTAGTATACCTGTGGTGTAAGAAGACAGCTAATGCCTTAGAACCCTTAAGAGTGTGGTAATGTATAGTACTTACTTGCTGGTGTAGGAGCATAAATAGGCACAATGGTTGGAACTGTTGCTTGGGTTTGTACCCCACCACTTCTGTGACATTGAAGTTCCTGTTGCAGTCCAGATCCACTGGCCAGATTCTAATTTACCAGATGTCCAGTATGTCCCAGGAACTGAGGAACATTGGAACAATGCCATTAGGAATATCAAGGCAATACTAGGTAGCATCACTCAACCAAGAAAAACGGTAATACTAGGCAGATGGCTAACACCAGGAGTTGTCCGATTATGTTAATTTTTTCCACAGCTGTTCTTCAGATGATAGTAAGTAATAAAAACGAAACAACTTTTATTTTGCTTAAATTTTTTTTTTTTTAGTTTTCTCTATATACAGTATAGTCTCGATTTACGCGGATTTTGTTTAAGAGTTTGGTCATTTATGCGGCACCTTGCCAGAATGACAATTTTAAGTTACGCGGTTCATTCCATCATTTACGCGGGAAGCGGCGCCGGGAGGATGCGCATTAGGTCGCTCTTACGTTATCGCTGACGTCATATGATGTATTGGACTGTGATTGGGCCACGCATCCTTACCTCCCTCCGCTGCTAGCTGTGATTGGTCTAATGTAACATGACGTTCCCTGCCACCAGAGGGAAGAAGTCGCTGACCTAGCCGGGCCAGTCTCATTGTTCTCAGTCTCCGCTTATACAGTTCTCTCTTGTGCCCGCTATTCCCCTCACAATGGCTTCCGCTGGACCCCCACCACCCCCGAGAAACCTTGAACTACCTGGACCAAGCCATGTTTATGTGAAGGAAGTCATCGAGTTGGCGGAGAAAATCAAGCTCATCCTTGACAAAGACACAGTCAAGCATCGGTATGAAGTGTCTAATAACCTTCTGTCGAAATTTATGGAACCGTATGCCCAGATGTATGACGACAACATCAATGCTAGTCGTCCCGCAACCCACCACAACCTCAGCCAGCCCAAGTCAGTGATAGTGACAGTGAGGGGTTTGTCAGGGAGGCCCTGCAAACCTTTGTGAATAGTGATAGTGATTTACCGGAGGGCCACTAATCTGCCCTCTGCCTCGGAACCAGCCGCCATCCACGTGTGCCGACCCATCTCTTCTACTAACGTAAGTGTTAAAACACCTTTATATTTGTACAGTAGTGTAGTTTTTTATTTAGATGTTATGTGTGTGTCAATACCATCATAAATATATGATGTTATTTTTACTACAAGGTATATATTGTGTCGGAAAAAGTGGAGTTGGGAGTCGGCCCAGTCTCTATTTCAATTAATCCCATATGTTCTGTTATTTCATTTACGCGTTCCTTGCTTTACGCGGACCTCCACGTGTTCAATTGACCACGTAAATGGAGGCTATACAGTACAGTATAATCATAAAGTAATTACTGGTAGTGGGCAAGGTATAAAGAATGAGGGATATTATGGGGCAAAACATGGTGAAAAACTGATCATATGACACTCAAATGATGTCTTCTACATACTTTGTACGCAAAGAAGTTAATTATTTACCATAAATATTCCTCTGAAAAATCTTCCATTGTTGATGCATGTTGTTGTTTTCTCTTTGTTTACAATGGAGTCTGGACAAAATCCCCCTAGGACAAAACCCCTTGGGTTAGGTTAGGTTTGTTCAAGGGGTTTTGTCCTACAACCGTTTACAAGTGACCCACTCAGTCTGAGTGTACTCTCTCACGTCCACAAAAAACTTAAATTTACACCATGACACTTCAACAAAATTGCTTTTATTAGTACCAGATATCAAAATAAAGTGTTCTTTAATATGGGGGGGGGGGGGTGCCCGGCTAGGAGGTTAGATAAGGTTAGATAGTTTAACATTATCCTTCAATGGGATTGCCACTGAAGGATCAATGATTCATCAGAAAGGCAATACTCATCTGAAAGAGGACAACACATCCCTAAGAAAGGAAAAAAACCAAAAAAGACACAACAAAGTTACACTCCTCTGGACAGGAAAAACGAAGAGAAAATTTTTAGGTACTATGGGGTCTCGTCCAATGCAGGGGTTGAGTTCTCGGTATTACTGTATAAGTCACCTGGTATTGAATTTTGAGAATTTTATGGTTGCAGTCAATAGTTTAGACAATTACAAGATTTTTCTAATATGACTTTTCCTTCACAAATGAATTATATATGTCGGGTTGGGGGGGGGGGGGATAGAGCCCCCTTATTAGGAGGTTAGGTTAGTAGGTCAGCTGCGAGAGAACCGTCATCTAAATGTCTTAGAATTGTCTAAACTATTGATTGTGGCCATAAAATTCTCAAAATTTAATACCGGGTGACTTTTGCAAATTTACCACGTTAGACAAACTTAATAATTATAAGAAACTATGAGTCTTACGAGAGTGTAAATCAATGCCAATTAGTTTGATGCTTGTCCTAGAGATGGCGCTATATCGCGTGGCGGTAGATGTAAACTTGGCTCCAAACCATTGTGTCGTTTGTGGGAAAAACAAAGGAAATAATATAGCTAAGGTCTCATTTCCTCTCAAAAGACATGGAAAGGTAAGTTCATTGTTATGTGGGTGATTCATAAGCAGTGACGGTTAAATTGCAGTTTAATTTATCATTTCACTACTTATCTTCTTAACCATTTGGGCGGCAGGTCTCTCTCTCCCCTATTTGTTATTGTTGTCAATTTGATTGTCGAGTAACCCCATTGGCTGTAACTATAAAAAACTATAAAAAACTGCAATTTAACAAGTCATTTGAAAGCACAGATCCACGACGTATGTTTATGATAAATTTGGGTTATAGTTACCTTTTTAAATTTTGCCTTTTCCTTCCATCAAACATATTAGTAATCGACATCGTGCTTGAGCTGCTTCGTGTTTGTAATATACATTTTCAACTGCAGTTATGACAGAATTTAAAGATAATCTTGAGTAAATAAAAGTCTCGGTAATTTAGTGGCACTTTCCAGGTTCTTTACATTCAGCCTTCTTTAACTTTAATTTCCTTCGATAGTTGTTGCTCTTTAGTGTAGATTTTCATGCTGATTCCCCCCAAAATAAATTTTTTTCGTGCTCTATCACTCTATAAAGATCATTATAGATTTCAGTGATTGTACTCTACCGATTCTTAACCATTTGCTTTTTTATGAAACAAAAGTACCAAGACAACGTTAAGGTTAGGTTAAGTAAAGATAGGTTAGGTAGGTTTGGTTAGGGTTGGTTAGGTTAGGTCTGGTTTTGTTACGTTTGAATTGGTTCATTTTTAGAGTTTTTACCCAAAAAAATGGATTGGGATGGTAAGGTTTTAATGAATTTGCTCAAGCAATCATGAAATCATGCAAAACATACAATTTCGTAAAAAATCACGGGTGGCCGCAAAACGAACAATAACTTAAAATTTCAAAGTTCCAACCTATATTTTCGAGAATACAACAGTATTCTACACGTCTTATATATTATAATGATACTCTGATGTTAACTCATTTCTGAAGAGTGGACTGTTATCAGTACTAAAATTAGTAAATAAAGCAAGCACTCGTATAAACTAATGAAGGTCGATATTGACAGAAGTAGGTGTACAACTTATCCTAGTTCTCTTCAACTTTCGGAAATCGAAAGAAAGTTTTCTGTTCCTTTAGAAGTTGCTAGAGCATTTAATAGGAGAACAGTACCAGGCCCCCATTGCAGCTGCTGTAAAGAAATGTACAAAGCAAAAGAAAATCGTGATGTCGCCGAATTTTTCGTCTTCCTCACTTTATTCCTTGCCTGGTAATTGTTTACTTTACACCCCAACCGCCTGGTGGCGCCACTTCGAGCTGTGAGCTCGTTTTCCCGGAGGGGCTATCCTCATACACAGTATTAGAAGTCGGCTGAACATAGCATACTACATCAATAGTTTCTTCCGGGTACTCCAGTTTCCTCCTGTACTAACGCTGGACAATATCCTGTATAATTCATAACACTACTAATAATGAACAGACAAACTGCCCGAACGGCTAATATGGTGGTATGTTGTGTAATGATAAATAGTAAAAATAGGTAATTAAATGAACGCTGATGCTATCGAAAGTACAGCTTACGGGAAATACTAGAGTTACCGTTAAAAATATCGAGATTAAGAGTCATTTTCTATGATTTCTGGCTTGTCCAATAGATGGCGCAAGTATCGGATCTAAAGATAGTATAATGGAGTTTTAGTTCTTTATAATATTCCAAGCTTAGTACTTTATGAGATGAGGGGAAGAAAAAAAGTCCTAACAGATCATTAGTAATGTGCAAATGTATTTAGATACTGAAATAAAAATACAGTACTGTATAATACACTGCAATATTATACATACAGTAGAGTTGCACCTTAATTGTGATCACGTGTTCGTGCTTTTTTCTCTGTATTTTTTTTACAGGAATTAGCCGACCCCTGGCACAAGTCACTGACCCACATCGGGGCCTGGGGGGTGAAATTGTAATAATTATAATAATAATATTAGTCCATAGTAAATAAAATATATAATAAAAATACAAAATTTAAAATAAAATAATAACAATAATAATATTAACAACACTGATAATAATAATAATAATAATAATAATAATAATAATAATAATAATAATAATGATTATAATAATAATAATAGCAATAATAATAATAATAATAATAATAATAAATATAATAATAATAATAATAATAGAGAACCAATAAGAAATACAAAAATTAAAAAAAGATAAATATTGATAAACTATATATGTATGTTGTGTTGTCAAAGTAAGAGAAACAATTGAGACCCTGCAATTGTGTGTAAATGAGGCAAAAAGTCAGATCAGCAACCTGGGACTTCGTCACAATTATCGTGATGCCATTTGGCAGCAGGGTCTACCATTAGACAACACATTATGCTTCCAATAACTTCCCAGGCGGTAGTATCTCCCTGTTTGATAGCTGTCTATACCTACAACCAACAACAGAGACTTTACTATTTATTTGATCACTGATCTACACACAATAACTTGTCTATATTTTCAATACAACCTAACCTAGCACCAATCTTCTCTTCATAAGCAATGAATAGTGCACATAGTCTACAGTACTTATTTACACTTTAATAGTGACTGACGGTTGCTGGAGTCTGACCCAATCATAGCTTGTCCAAAATCACTATTTCTCAGCTAGTGTAATTATTACCTTACATGTTTTCTTCACTACACCAAAATTAGCAGACTGTTTGAGACGTAAGCTCACAGCTGAGCTCTAGCCCCTGTATAATCAAATTAATGTATATGAGCGCTCGGGAAATAGTCTTATTTATTGAACCGTGTACCGTACAGTAATCAAATCCATGTTGGATAAACCCTCACTTGACGAGACGATACTGTACAACGATATATAAATATTTATTTCATGGAACAAACAATGCTGTAGACATAGGATGATAACACAGCCAAGAGAGATACTTAATAGATAAAGATTACTCACAGTGAGCGCTGATGTGAGCGAGGAGGCCCTGGTACTGTTGTTTATCCCTGATGCTGGCCAGGTTGGTGTTTTGATTCTGACATCTCATTTGAGCATCTCCCCAAGACTTCTTCTCCTGGAAGAACCGGTAGCAGTTGCCAGCGATGGGTAAGAACCCATTACTGCACTCGAGTTTCTCTCTACTGTCAGCCTCGTGGTCTGGAGATCATGTTGGGTACACAGGAAAGAAGCAATATATGAAGCTGAAAAGATGGGATGTGTTCATGTACAGTAATAGGTGTACTGTTGTATTAAGTACATATGATAATCAGAGAGCGCAGGTAGATATCAGTCATCATAATGGTGTATCCCAATGTGATAAATGTTTACCATTATAATTATAAGATTCATTCGACAGTTTAAGTTTAATATCAGATACATAATAAGCAACATATTCAGATGATCCGAGTCGTAAAAAGATTACCTTCAGATATTTTGCCAACTTTTTTAGCAGCAATGCAGCCCACCACCGCCAGGTACAGCACTAGCACAGCGGCCTGCATCCTTACAGCACCTACAAATAATAGCCATGTTAGTCCACACATACATACTACAATAGCTTGATTTAACTGTTACTTGTTGTACTTACTTTAGAGGATAGACTATTACTCATCAAAATATTTAGTTTATCCTCTTTGCTACTGATCGGCCTGCTAGCCACTTAGGCAGCCAGTCTCGTCTGTATACTGGGTATGCACTGGCTCCAGAATGTATTTATCTGTACCTACGCCAGTATTGGTCATGTCTGGTTTTGAATGAGCTCACACTCGGTGCCGATACAACACACTCTGGCAGATTTTTCCATTAGTTTACAACTCACTCCAAAAAAAGTTTGCCCTGAGAGTTTTCTGAACTTACTGCTTCTTCAACCTTAAGCTGTGATCCCTAGTGGGGCAGGCATCTGTTAGTTCCAGGTATGAACACTGAACTGAGTAATATCCCCTGAGGTGTTCATAGACTTATGTGAAGTCACTCCGCCCGCCTATAGTATAAGCGACACAAGTGCAGGCGTTCCAGTCTCTTTGGGTAACTGAGGTGTCGTAGTGCAGGCACCAGTCTGGTGCCCTCCTGGAACATTTTCAGTCAACTGACAGTTTCTAGCATATCTCGGGGACCAAACGGTGTGACAGTACTGTATATGTTACAGTATAGAGAAAAGTTGCATTTTCAGTTATTTCACACAGTGACAGGAAAAATTTGTTAAATAGCTTAATAAATATTTCATTCGGGTTTGATTATCTTAAGTTATGTTATGGTAGGTTAGGTTAAATTTGGTTGGTTAGGTCTTAACTTAAACTAACCTTACCAAACCTGAGTGAAACATTCATTTCATTATGTGACAAAAACAGTTTTCGTTCATTTCAGATTACACAACTTGAAGTTCCCTTTGGGTACTCCGGTTTCCTTCTGTATAAACACTGGACAATGAAGTTCATTATAAACAACAAAGAACAGATCAAGTGCCTGAAAAGTGGTGAAATGACATTTTTACTGCATATCTATCTAAATAACATTACCATATTGATGATGGTTCCCCACTGCAAATCTGCATGTACAGTAACAAAAGCTGTCGTATGCTAATGTTTAAGCGCGAGAGAGGTAAACATTGGTTTGGAAATAGAGTAGTGGATGAGTGGAACAAGTTACCCAACATCATCATTAACTCGAATACGCTGGATAGCTTCAAACATAGGTTGGATGGATATAGGAGCGATAGGGGTTGGGTGTAAACGGGACTGCCCATCAGTATGGGTCAATAGGCTTTCTGCAGTTTTCTCTATTCTTATGTTCTTATGTAAATAACGTTACAATCAATACAAAGAACACGTGTAAACAAATATGAACTCACCAATTTTCATGAATGAACTGCGACTGAAAAAAAGCCCAAATATAGTATTGTTTTTACTCACAAAATGTCAAGACAGACAGACACTGGGTACAGTGAGTTGAAAGCAGTGTACCAGCGAACCTCACTAGTGTTCTGGGGTCCCTTGAGTGAAATGCCCTCACCTATACCCTCCTTATATACCAACTGGTGTGTTAAGATAAGTTTTAACATACCACTACATATTTAGATAACATTTAATCCGGGTTCAGTAAACACTGGGTAATCTCGTGCCGTGTGAACTCCATGAGGTTGGGTATTGTCTCTACTATAATTTTCACCACTTATTAGCTTACTAGCCGTTTCTAGCATTAAGCAAAGCTATCTTACATCTGTCAAATGTTAAGGCATAACCGGAAAAAATATGTGTGTTGCTGTTTTTAGAACAACACGCTAATATAGTGTTTATGTCATGGAGACCGAGAGACCTCCAGCTGTGGTCCTTCACGTAGCCCGCCCTGTTGACGTCACTTGGTTTTCCTATTGAAATCGTTATCACCTTCGCATAATAAGAAGCGGTGAACATTATTAAGGCACTACAGTCTGTTGTACATGGCTATATATAATTAGAGTAATGAAAGCAGAACTGTGGCCTGATTCATGAATGTATGTAGTAGTTTCAGGCAGGATGTTTCCCTGGCCCAAGACGACGGGTGACGCCAAGGCTCACTCTACCACCATAACAAGGTTAGCATTACTTCTGCTGCTCTTATTATGACATAATGGACAAGTGTCTTTATGAATTTTTTGGTGTTAACTAAAACATTGTTAGTATTATGGCTGTTCCTGTTAGTTGAAGCGTACAATAAATAGTTGGTAAACGTTAGGAAAGGATCGCCACCTTATCTGGGGGGGATCCCCCCAGATAAGGCAACCCTCTCCTAACTTTTCAAGACACGTTTGTTGTAATACTGTACAAAAGTACACAGATGTTTATCTAATGGGAAAGAAAGGAAAATGTACGAATGTGAAATATATACAGTTTTCCATCAGAACATTATGATCTTGTCATCAAGCTCCCCCAGGAAGGCTGAAGGTCTAACCACTAATGATGGCAGATAAAAAACACACTGAATCAAATATAATGATCTTACATACCTTGTGATTTGGTTAGGTTTGGTTGGTTTCTGTCACCATTCGTCGTAACCCCACAAACTTTTGCCGTTTCGCAAGAACACTTCTGAAGGTACAAACACTTCCTTGAGATCCTTCCCTGTGTAAGTGGCGACGTTCTCGTTAAACTTTACGAAAATTTTTATATGAGTAAAGTGTTTTGTTTTTCAGGAAGGTGAAAGTTAACAGCTTCTCGAGGGACCGTAACACTCCATAATACTTCAGGTATGTCCAAATCAGTTTTATATATTGTTCTCGATGTTTTTGTACAGCATAATGCGTTGTCCAATGGTAGACCCTGCTGCCATATGGCATCACAAAAATTGTGACCAAGTCTCAGGTTGCTGATCTGATCTGACTTTCTGCCTCATTTACGCACAATTGCAGGGTCTCAATTGTTTATCTCAATTTGACAACACAACATAAGAACATAAGAAAATAAGGAGTCTGCAATAGGCCGGTTGGCCTGTGCGTGGCAGCTCCTGTCGGGAGTTATGAATCTATCTTGCCTCCATTTAAAACTTTCCAGCGTCCCAGCACTTACTACAAAGTTGCTAAGCTTGTTCCACTCGTCCACCACCCTATTTGTGAACCTGTTTCTTCCTATCTCCCTCCTAAACCTAAACTTATCCAACTCAAATCCGTTGCTACGAGTTCTATCCTGCGCGGATATTATAAGAACTTTATATATATCTCCTTTATTGATTCCTTTCGCCCACTTAAATACTTCTATCATATCTCCCAGCACTCTTCGTCTTTCTAGGGAATGCAAGTTTAGTTTATTTAATCTATCTTGATAGGGAAAGTTTCTAAGTCCCGGAATCATTTTCGTCATTCTTTTTTGCACTGACTCCAGTAAATTGATATCCATTCTACAATTAGGGCACCAGAACTGAACCGCATAATCGAGGTGCGGCCTGACTAGCGCAAGATATAGTTGCAATAAGAGCTCTGCACTCTTATTACTTACATTTCTAGATATAAAACCTAATACTCTGTTTGCCTTATTTCGAACATTAACACACTGTTTTCTTGGCCGAAGGTCCGGGCTTACGAGTACCCCTAGGTCTCTTTCACAAGTCGACTTCTCTAGTTTGATGTTGTTGAGGCTGTAGTATACGTTTACAGTATTTGTTCTTCCAATATTAAGTACACTGCACTTGCTGGTGTTGAATTTCATTTGCCATTTTTCTGACCACTCCTGCAGTTTATTTAAATCCTCCTGTAGTGAATTTGCTTCCTGCCCGGAATTAATCTGCCGCCCTATTTTGGTGTCATCCGCAAACTTGCTTATGTAGATTATGAACAAGAGTGGGCCCAATACTGATCCCTGGGGAACCCCACTAGTTACACAGATTTAAAACTATCTACGCTGACCCTCGATACCACGAGCCTTAACTTTTCTCAGTAGCCTCTGATGCGGTACTCTGTCAAATGCTTTGCTAAAGTTTATGTAAATAACATCGTAATTTTCTTCATTATCTATTACTTCATAAACTTTCCTTTTTTCATTTTTGTATTTCTTTATGGTTCTTTGCAATTATTAGCATTATTATTATTTTATTTTTATTTTGTATTTTGTATTTCTTTATAAAATTTATGATGATTTTATTATTATTATTATTATTATTATTATTATTATTATTATTATTATTATTATTATTATTATTATTATTATTATTATTATTATCATTATTACTATTATTATTATTATTATTATTATTATTATTATTATTATTATTATTATTATTATTATTATTATTATTATTATTATTATTATTAAATTTTCGCCCCCCAGGCCCGATGGTCAGTGACCTGTGCCCGGGTGGGCTAATCCCTGCAAAAAAAAAAAAAAAAAAATATTTGCTCGGGAATCTTGCGTCACCGCTACAGTAAGTAACCGCACACTGTATAATTATGTGCAGATGTTACATATAGAGAATAGTGTAAACCCTCATAACATACAGGTGAATTTAGTCCAGATAGATACAGTACAGTATATAGAAAAGGAATAATCCCCGATATAAGAACATAACATAAGAACATAAGAATGGAGGAAACTGCAGCAGGCCTATTGGCCCATACTGGGCAGTCCCGTGTACACCCAACCCCTATTGTTCATATAAGCATCCAACCTATGTTTGAAGCTATTCAGCGTATTCGAGTTAGTGATGATATTTGGTAACTTGTTCCACTCATCCACTAAAATTTGTTTACCATGGCGACTGTGTATATTTTTTCAAGTTGGGCTGAACGTTTCCAGTGTCTGGTTATTGTAAAATAAATTAATAAAGAAAATTTTTTTTTTGTATATATTTTTTACTTTTATTATTTGTATTTTTTCTCATCATTCTCTTTCTTATTATAATTATAGTCTACTTTATTATTATTATTAATCTTTTACTACTACTTGATCATTAGCATTATTATTATTAGTACTATTTTCATTGTTGTTTGGTCGTCACAGTATGGAGCGCTTTGTTGTCCAGCAGTACTCTACAGTCAGACAGAATAACATGTGCCCACAGCCCGGCATCCTGTTTTCTGGAAACCTAGACGATGCTTACAAAACAACCTGACCTTTTACATCCTCCGCCCCTCCCCTTCTCGCCACACCTCCCTTTCCTCCACACCATATCACCTCCACCCACACTGTGCTTCACCACGCCTAGTACATTGGCAACCCTGAGCCTGGCCGCACTGTTTGTAAACTTTGTGGTCAACCCGACTCCCACACCCTCTCTCACTACATCCTCACTTGCCCTATGACCTCCTCCTACAGGTTCCCAGCAGTTACCAACAGCTCTTCACTCCCTGACCAGATATCCCTCCTCCTAGTGACAGGCCTGGCACTTGACATTATTAGGGACCTGCCACACTTTGCCATAAGCAGATAAATTGTACCGGGAATTTTCCCCCACACACTCATCATTCTGTCACTTTATGTAACTTGTTGACAAAAACCATGACCCTTCAGGCTTTTATGCCCTTAATGCATGAGTGATAAAGGCATGCATGAACTTCTCATGCTTCCCAGATGGGCGCTGTAAACGCTTCTGCGCTTCATCTTGCACAGGATGTAAGGGGGTGCCCAATAAACTAACCCCCTCGGGAGCAATCTAAAAAAAATATCTAAATCTCCCCCCCCCTGCCACACTTCCCTTGCCCTTCCACTCTGCAGTACAGTAGTTTGATTTTCATTATTAGTAGAAGTATTATTATTGTTGCATTTTTTAATTATTATTGTGTTATTGTTAGATTTTATTCATTAACATTATCCCACAATCACGAAATCACAGTTTAGCCTCGAGTGATTCACAATAACATCCCCAACTAAACCTTGTGATAAGTTAACAACGTTCTTGGTATACATCCGATGAAACGACTTACATTCGTGCCTTTTGTCTTATTCATATCTTTAGTCGTATCCGGCTCATGGGTTATGTTCGCAGCTGGTGTACTAAACAGGATGTCTCTACGTTTATGCCTTTAGCCAGATGTTTCTTATTTCACCAAATATAAGATAAGACTGAAAGTATAACGTATAAGCGGCTTGACTCTTTGTGATAATCATAACCTGTGTTGCTGTGACCTGACCTGTGTTGCTGTGACCTGACCTGTGTTGCTCGGACCTGACCTGTGTTGCTGTGACCTGACCTGTGTTGCTCGGACCTGACCTGTGTTGCTGTGACCTGACCTGTGTTGCTGTGACCTGACCTGTGTTGCTGTGACCTGACCTGTGTTGTTTGTGATCTGACCTGTGTTGTTGTGATCTGACCTGTGTTGTTGTGACCTGACCTGTGTTGCTGTGACCTGACCTGTTGCTGTGACCTGACCTGTGTTGCTGTGACCTGACCTGTGTTGTTGTGATCTGACCTGTGTTGTTGTGACCTGACCTGTGTTGCTGTGGCCTGACCACAATATTAACACTTGACCATCTTCTACGGCACGACAACAAAGTGACTGTTAAGCAGGATCTTTACAAGTTTTATAATGTAACATGTACAGTTGTCTATGGGTATAATGTAACGCTGCACCTCCAGGCAACTTAAACATATTGCTCAAGAGGATGTTGCATCGTTTTTCTGTAATGTCAGGATTCGACTTCCTTCCACACCATCGATCAGGAGTGACGTGGTGTGTGGGAGTGAGACCGTATAACGAATTAAAGAATAACGAACTTTTGATCAGACTTAACCTGCTTATAGAATTTCCGCCAGATTTAGGAGTAATGATAAGTAGGAATCTTAAGCCAAATAAACAATGTAAGAACATAAGAATGGAGGAAATTGCAGCGGGCCTATTGGCCCATACTGGGCAGTCCCATTTACACCCAACCTCTATTGCTCATATATCCATCCAACCTATGTTTGAAGCTATCCAGTGGATTCGATTTAATGATGATATTTGGTAACTTGTTCCACTCGTCCACTACTCTATTTCCAAACCAATGTTTACCTATTTCGCGCCTAAATCTAAATTTGTCTAATTTAAAACCATTGTTACAAGTTCGCTCCTGGTTGGCTAGTTTGAGTACCTTTGTAATGTCCCCTTTGTTTTGCCCTGACAATAGGCCCGCTGCAATTTCCTCCATTCTTCTTCTAAGGTGACGTTGTTTGGGGGGTAGGAAGGGTGGCGAGCTAACCGAGTCCACGTTTATGCGGGTTTACTAAATGCAATTAGCCGTTTAACCTAACCTAACCACCACCAGTAGCCAGGAACAGTAACAACGCCCGCATCCATAAGTCATTCGTCACTACACACACCTGCTAGACATTTGTTCCTATTGTGTCGGCAGTGAAAGTTACGGCGTAATGAGGTAAAATGCGGCCACCTGTGACACACACACACACACACAGCTTAAGGAAACAATAAAACCAACCGTAATTAACAAATTTTAATGTATAAAAATATAACTGTTAACATATCACAAGTGTTTACAACTCGACAACTAGAAGCAGAGTGCCGCCAACACGCGGGAGTAACCAGCCTCCCTTCAGGCAGGACCCGCCCCCATCACCTAACGGGGGTCAGGCTTAACAACATGATTTAGCAGACAGGAATATTAATAATTTAGTAGAACATTTTGTTGTCATGGGGTGAGTTAAGTGTTTATCGGATCCTTTGGTGAATAAAAGACAATAGAATCATACATATATCTTTTAACATTTACAGAAGTCATTTGTCATAATTACTGATCGCTTCTAACAATAATGGTAGCTAAACTAACAGTTAACGGAATACCATTAACGAAGAGACTAGTTGGACTGTGTATGAAGAGCTAATACTTCACTGTGAGGTGAACCATCAGCCTATGACAGCAACAGGGGGTCGGGTGAGGGGCGGGTGAGGTAAGTTAGGTTGACTCCCATAGTCACGTTGAGACCCTGTTAGGCTGTCCCCAAACTGGGCCAGGGCACCGAACAGTCCAAAGGGTCCTGGTGGTCCTACTGGTCGCGGTGGACTTGGTCTAAATGGTCTTATCGGTCTGTTTGGTCGTACAAACCCTGGTCTGTCGGGGGACAAAGTTTCTTGAGCGGCCAGGGCCCCTGCAGGATCGATCTCCCTCTCCTTTGGGGTGTAGATGGGCGGCCTCACATTCTTGCTCCAGGGTGCATCATAAGGGATGCCCGGCGGCGGCGCTGGCCGGGTGCTGTAGGTGGGCCTGGTGGTGGCGTCGGGTTCTATACTCTCACGAACTTCAGGGCCGTCAGAGGCGTCTCGACGATGTCCGTAGCCCTTCTTCATGCAGCGCGTGATGTACTCCTTCTCAAACTTGACGGTGGTGATGGTGACCTGACCGATGCCCGTGACGGTGAACTTGACGGTGGTGTAGCGGTTGATGGTCTTGGTGAAGAACATGGGTCGTACTTTGGTCTCCACCTGTGTGAGCAGCGGCTTGATCACCTGCGTGATGAATACTGGGTACCTGAGGGTGGTGTAACGAGTCTCAACCACCTTCTTCACGTGAGGCTTCGGGTTTCGCACCTCCACCTGAAGCAGTAGAGCGCAGTGATCAGGTAGTGAACGGAAATAAAGTTACAGGAAAAAAAGCCAGAAAAAATAAAAATTTTGGCTAAGAAAAAAGTTACAGACAAAAAGTCACATTTTATTTTAATATCATTAACAGTTAAAGTGATAAAAACCCCAAGCAATATTTTAAGTCACTTATTAACTGACAATACATGACTTTTACACATTGACAACACAATTTATATATGATGGCATTACACGTATGTTAGGTTAGGTTAGGTTAGGTTTGGTTTTTCTGTGACTTTTTCTTGTGATTTTTTTCCTGGATTCGGTCAGGTAGTGCATATTTAGTGTTTAACTCAACACATTCTCAAAACAATTATGGGATTTCTTTGCCTATGAACATAACATAACACAGACCATTTATCGTGTCCAAAGGAAATTAGTCGAGAAGACTTAGGAGTAAACATTGTCACGGAGTATAGAGAGAGTGAGAGAGAGCAACGACACATTCCTCACCCTGTGTAGTCCACCCTGTGTGTTCGTACAGAATATGTGAAGACTATAACCAACTAAACATAAGTCCTTCCCATTACTTCAAGGATTTCCAAAGTTTACTGTACATTAAGATAAATTATATCAAGATATTAACAGAATATCGAAGCGCGCGCACACACACACACACACACATATATCATAACAGCGTATATCATCACCAACAACACACTTTCTACCCCAACATACTGGCTGGTAAACACTGACTTTTACACACACACACACACACACACACACACGCACGCACACAACAGTCGATGTATACTTTCACGCGACAACAAAGCACTAGAGATTGGTCGAGTGAGAAAAATAAGAGAGAACAAGAGACAATATAAGTAGCATTTTTCTGTTGGTCTGTTTATCTATCTGTTGCTCTTACCTCTTGTCTGTGTACATACAGGGTATATGTGTGTCTTTATCCATGTACGTTTTTGTCTTCGTTTTTATAGCTGTCTGTCTGTATATCTATCTATGTATCTATCTAATCTATCTATCTATCTATCTATCTCTCTATCTATCTATGTAATCTAATCTATTTATCTATCTATCTATCTATGACTGACTCACATTGTTGACGATCTCCGCCTTGCGATCCTTGTACACGGTGTTATACTTGGTGATGGTCTGGGGGTGGCAGGGGGAGGGATTGTACCCCCCTCCCCCGTGTCCCCCTCCTCCTCCGTAGCCACCCCCGCCGCCGCCGCCATGTCCACCATAGCCTCCTCCGCCACCGCCATGTCCACCATACCCTCCTCCGCCACCGCCATGTCCACCATAACCTCCACCATGATCACCATAACCACTTCCTCCTCCGCTGTAGCCTCCGCCGCCGTGTCCACCGCCGCCGTGTCCACCGCCGCCGTGTCCACCACCGTGTCCATCGCCGTCACGAGGTATAGCCAGCTGAGGGAGGGAGGGGACGGCTAGTACCATCACCACCGTCAGGAGATGCCAGGTCCTGCGGGAAGAAAATACAACACTCGAGATTATTTCTCAGATTAATGTATTGGCTCTCAGCTGAAAACTTTATGGGCGTGTTATTGTCATGTGTGTTTGTGTGTGTGTGCGTGTGTGTGCCATGTGTGTGTGTGTGTGTGTGTGTTGTGTGTGTGTGCGTGTGTGTGTCATGTGTGTGTGTGTGTGTGTGGAGGAAAATTGTCTTGTGTAGAGAATTGTTGCTTATGTTTTGAACTGGAAATTATTATTTTTACTGTTATTATTATTATTTATTTATCATTATTAAAAAATCTTAAAGTTATCTGGGGGTTAGGTTAGATTAGGTTAGGTTAGGTTAGGTTAGGCTAGGCTAGGCTAGGCTAGATTAGGTTAGGTTAGGCTAGGTTAGGTTAGGTTAGATTAGGTTAGGTTAGGCTAGAGTGTTTAATCATGAGGTTGAAAAATATTCTTTGGTGATCTAAGCTTATTAACCACACACTAAACTGGATCAGTAAGTTTCACCTTAACAGTAGAGTAACAATTATCTTTTAACACACTGAACTATTTAATTACCACTCTACTTACCATAAACCTTCATAACACCGTCGTTGATAAGTACAACATTCACCCACATCCTTGAAAGTAATCTAATTCTTTTCCTGAGAGTAAGATATAGAAAACGATAACAGTGTCTCAGCAGATCGTAAATAGGAAACATTCAACTCGTCAGCTGTGGTCGGTTACTCAACAAACAGGATGTCTCAGAACGTTTTTGTATGGTCGTAGAGTGAGTGAGTCGTAAACAGCTGATGGCATGGCTAAAAAAAACACACATCAATACTAAACTAGACATAATATAATAATTTGAGGGGTATATTTTGTCATGGCGGCAGAGTAAAGAACAAAAATAACATAGGAAAAGAAGTACACAAGATTCTAGTTGTTGTTCTTGATCCAGTTCTCAGGAGACGCATCCAATATTTTCCTTGTCGGTGTTTGTGGTTGCAGTGATGGCGGTGGGTGTTGTGGTGGTGGTGTGATCATGAGTATATTGTACATTTTTAGCAATTACACCATCATCTCTCCACTTTGGTTTACCTGTACTTGTTTTGTTTGTTTGTTTGGTGTGTGTGTGTGTGTGTGTGTGTGTGATAGTAATAAGGATGATGGTAATACTATACCATTTATAGTGGCGGTGGTGGTACAGTGTATGGTGGAGGTAACAACACGGTGTAAGAGAGAGTATGGCAGCAGGTGACGGGTGGGCAGTGGCAGGGAGAGGCGCCCACGGTGGAGACAGTCACCAAGACTGACGAAGTCACCGGAAGGTCATTACAGAAACAAGCGATGGGGAAGACATGGTAAGAGGGAGGGGGAGGGGGAAGACAAGGTAAGAGGGAGGGGGAGGGGTAAGACAAGGTAAGAGGGAGGGTGGAGTGGGAGGGAGTGAGGAGGTGGCACTTGAGAGATTATGACGTTAAGGAGGAAACTGAAGAGGTTAGAGGTCATTAACACCTGAGGCTGATGCCCACGATGTCAACAATATGCCGACTTACGCTCCCTCTTGCCAACTTACCTCCCTCTTGCCGGCTTACCTCCCTCTTGCCGACTTACCCTTCTTCTTGCCGACTTACCCTTCTCCTCTTGCTTTGACTTACCTCCTCTGCCGACTTACCTCCCTCTTGCTGACTTACCTCCCTCTTACAACTTACCCTCTTGCCGACTTACCTTCCCTCTTGCTGACTTACCCTCCTCTTGCCGGACTTACCTTCCTCTTGCCGACTTACTCCTCCTCTTGCCGACTTACCCTCCCTCTGCCAACTTACCCTCCTTCTTGCCGACTTACCTTCCCTCTTGCCAACTTACCCTCCCTCTTGCCGACTTACCTTCCCTCTTGCCGACTTACCCTCCCTCTTGCCGACTTACCTTCCCTCTTGCCGACTTACCCTCCCTCTTGCCGACTTACCCTCCCTCTTGCCGACTTACCCTCCCTCTTGCCGACTTACCCTCAGTGTGCTTCGTTCTTAAACCCTCGAAGGGACTCCCACATCCGCATAGAAACAAAAGACAAACGGAAACAACTATGGACTGATAGGAACGTATTTGTCTACTTAGTTTAATTTTGTAATATGCGATAACACGTTTTGTAATGTATAGCTTCAACATATAATCATTTCTCTGGTAATGTTAGCGTGATGGGTATGTTAATATGAGGTAGTGTGCTAGTGGTTGTGGTTTTTAATGTGCTGTGTAATGTGTTGGGGGCCAGACTCTCACATGATTATACAAACACACTGTAATAGTTTCAACACTCACGTGGTTATTATACGATGCTTCTTAGTGTAGACAGGCAGACAGACAGAATGAGATGGGTAAATATAATCGGGGAAAGTTAAAGAGAGAGGGGAAGATATACAAAAGAAAGGTGAAGAGAGAAAGTGAGATTTCATCATCAGAGAGCAGTGGAAACCATTGTCAGAAGGCCACCAGCGTGAGGAGTGGGCAGCGACCACCCCACAATA